AAAATACATCGCATCGCCACCCTGCCTTATGAGCTGAGAACCAAGCTGACCCGCTGCAAGCTTCCTACCTCTGGAGAAGCCCAACTACTCTCAGCCGCTGTTCCTCTATCGAGGGCAACACAAGCCCGGGCAGGTATTACAGCTGAGTGCCTTCACAGCACTATGTAAATACAGATGCAAATAAGCTTTGGCCCTCAGACTTCTGGCAAGTTACAAACACGGTCCCTGGTGTTAGGAGGTGGCTCCTGCTGCACACAACGGCTGCGAGCCTTCAGACCCTTCCCAAACTAAGACTCTTGCTGCAGGCAGGGACAAATTTGCCTCTGTAAAGGACAGACAGCCAGGACAAAAACAGTGTACCTGCTTTTCTAAGTGACCATTGCACAAGGCTTGCGGACGGAAGGTTGCTAAATCCTGGAGGGCACTGACAGGTGACTAGATTCCAAAAAGAGAGGAAACTCCACCTTAGGAAACCATTACTGCTTGTTGCAGACAAGGCTGTCAGGAATACAGGTAATGAAGGATTAGTACTGGAGAGACAGGGAAGAAGTAATCTTAAAATAATTTTTGAATTCTTTTTGCACCCAAGCAAGGCACAAATGTAGTGGACGCATACCAACGGTTACTTTCTCACATACCTGCAAAATCTCTTGGGAGAAATAAACAAAAAATTTGAAGTACAGCAGAGCAAGGACATATTCTGAAGGAGCTGGCATTTTTTCCTTGTACATAGTAGTCTAACAAAATAAAAGACTGCTGCTTTTATCCGACACCCTCCTTACAGCAATAATATATAAAATCCAAGTGTCCTTCCGAACCTAGCTTCTTTTTTCTTTCCTATGTAACTAGAAAACAAAGTGGTTTGTGCCTGTAACAACCATTTATACCGTCTTTAAAAATACATTTTAATGCCTCTGGCTTTTCATCATTATTTTGAGCAGCTTAAGTCAACTGGGAACAAGATTCGTGGTTCTCATGTTCTGGTGTTGTAAGAACACAACAAATCAAGTTCTCATAGCAGCAGTCTGCCCTACCAAAAGGGGTAGCCTTAATATAAAGGAGAAGAGAAACATTCCATATCCATAATTAGATAAATAGTACTTCAGGCAAGATATGGCACCTTTAAAAGTGCCTTTTCAGTCTTGGATTTTTCTCTGCTTGTTACTACAGAAACCATCTAGCAACCAGAATCTAAGGCAGACTCCACCCAAAACAGTGAAAAACAATATAGACAGAGTAGGCTTTTCCTCCTCTTTTCTTTTTTTCTCTCTCCCCCCCCCCCCCCCCCCCCCTTTTTTTTGAAAGGGTGGGTAAGTGCTAAGGAAAAGTATCTTACTGTGCAAAGGATAGGAGCATTTTGCATGCAGCTGAAACAGTAAAGCTCTGATTACAGATGGCAGAAATGAAAGCAGGGAATGAGTAATGAGCAATGACAAATGCGTAATGCGGGATGAGGATATAATTTCCACACATCGGCTAAAGAAAGGTTTACACTCTTAAGCAATAAAAACAAACCATTAAGCCAGACCTGCACTGTCAGGAAGTATAAAACAGTTCTTGAAACTGCAGTTACTATACAAAAGCTTTTCATAAACTTTTGTTTCCTGATCTTCATAAAACATTAACATCAAGCTGCCATATGGCAATTAGCTGCCTCCTGAAATCAATAAAAACCCCCCAAAAATCAACAATTTAGGAATAGCTGTACAATAAAATAGTTCAATAATTATCCTCTTCTAATAGTGTAGCAAAGTGGGTCTAATATAAATGCAGTCCAGATGAGCTCCTTCTTCAAAGCTGAGAGTACAATAAATCATGTTCCTCTCCAAGCCTCATCAGTACCGATGGCACGAGTGAGACCTCTAACTGCCTGGCAGGGGGGAAAGCAGGTGATAGTCTGTGGACACCCAAACCCAATTATCATAGGAGCAAAATCAACGCCTGCTTCTGATGAGCCCAGGTGAGCACAGCGGAGCAGATCCTGCTCGGTGAAAATGGCCAATGCTCTCGGGAGAGCTTACCTCAACTGAAGATCTTCCCGCGTCATTTTTACATGTTGCTGACCACAGAAGTCCAACTGAATTTTGCGCAAAAATTATCAAGCCACTCGACAAAGCTGTTACTGAGTCTCAAAAGGACAAGGAGAGATGCTGATCACATTTGTGTTTAGAGAGATGCTTATCTGAAATGCACAAAGGGTGACATTATCTATCACAATCTCTGCCTATATAGATTATATAAGTGCCTAGAAGCAATATGTTTAGGGGAAACAGGCTATAGGGTAACAAAGGCAGTTTTGCCTTCCAGATCTTCTGCTTTTTCTCCTCTTAAGAGGAAGAAAAAGGCTCGGTTTTTCTTGTAGAGCACTATAACACTAATACGTACTAAAGAACTAAAATAACTACTGGAGTACTGTGGTAACAGCATACCTTTAGTATTTAGGATTATTTAGCAGTCATTACCGGACTTAGAAGATGTCAGAAAGCCCAAATCTTTCAGAAGGACTGCCTGATCATCAACCCTATTTAGCTGAGTTCAGGAACCCAACTGATCTCTAGCAGAATTTTCTACTACTCATGTATCAAAGTCTGGTTTGTTTCTTTTTTTTTTTTTTTTCCTTTTAAATCCTAAACAAACTATTCAGTGCAGCACTCTCACATCTCCAGTCTAGAGAGAGAGAGAGGTTAAGTGTTAAGGATTTAAAGATACACTACAAAACCAATTACTGACGTGCTGAGCTTGACACATGCATATTTCCTCCTCAAAATCAGCGTGGAACTGATGATTCTGTGACTAACACGAAGCAGGTATAGAAATGCTTACAAGAGTGGGTCTTAATAGGTTGACAATTATACATTGGTCTCACGGTGTATTTTACTAAGGATGCAATTCTTTGTCAAGCAACCGGAGGTTTGCCTTCACAAGGAATGCGGCATCACGCCATGAGCCAGCCACTGCTCATCCATAGACAAGCGCCGTAGCCAATTTTTTTGAAACAAGATTAGCATCAATGTGTTCTCATGCCTTAGAGGAGAAGTAAAGCAGCCACCACTCTGTAAAAAGCCTCCCTCAATCTCGTTACACATGAAGGGCTGGGGGGTGTGAAACTTAAGCCTTGCAACACTGGAGTTTAGGATCTGGTTAGAAGTGCCATGGGGTCTTTACTGATTTCAGCAGGTTGGGGATCATACCTTTCCTGCTCACAGAAATGCTGCGCTCTTCCATTTTTCAGCACTTTACGTCCAGCTCTTGCAAGCTCAGGTTATAGAGTACGCTAGCGCTGCTGTGACTTGACTAGCACAACCACGCATCGCAAACAATCAATGAATTCTTGAAGAACCTTCACCGTAGCATATTCTGCGACTGACAGCCTTCCCAAAGCAACAGCCGTAAACTCACTCATCACCAGTAAAGCCGGCAACAAGCAAAAGGCAAACTAAACTTCTGCACATACGATGCTCCCCCCTAAAACATGAGCCAACGAAACAGCCCTGGTCTTTTGAAATAGCAAATAGAGGTCGTCCACCCAGTAAACTCGTAGGCTACTATGTAGTATCAGCATGGCCAATAACATCAGCTACCTCTCAAAAATAAGCAGAGCCAAACTGCAGAGTGGTGGATTGTTCTCTACTAGCTATTAAAAATACTGCGGGTACAAAGAAATACATAAGTTTTTATCTCACCACAGAAACTTACACCTCGCTTAAGGTATTTTTAAGCTCACAAGAGAAAAATGGAAGCAGCCAACAGGAAATTAGTTTTTCTCTCCTATCCCCTGCACCCATTGCTTTCTGTGATGATTAGCGGTAGACAACTGTTCTATAAGACGACCCGTAAGACATCATCAAGTTCGCCTTTCTGATCAGCAAACTTATTTAGTACCTTCACTGTAACCAAGATGATGGTGGTAAAAAAGGAGGTGTTTGGGGAGGGCTATGAGAAAGAGGAGGTTTCTGTTAACAAGAAGTTAGGCTAATAGGCGGCCCAAATCAGAGATTCCCAGAGTTGACTTAGAGAGGTCTCTAACGGGCCAACGGTACACATGGCTTTAGGAGGTGCTGCCTCAGTTCACCAAATCCAGAAATGGATCCACCACGGAGCACAAGGGGGTTCTGACATCTCCGGAGGTATCACCACACAGTCATCATATATCCACCAAAGACACTGGAGAGCTCCTGAAACAGGCAGGAACTTGCCATTAGCAGTCTAACACGATTTCATTCTGTTCCCGGCTTCAGCGCGCTTTGCAGTGGATCACCAAGAAGCCAATTTAAGCTACTTTCCCGCTCTACTATTTCAGCACAACTTTTCCACAACAAGCAACCCAGCCTCTGCATGCTTGTCCCATGTCGTACAGCTAGCAACCTGCCTTTTAACGCGCAACAGGCACAATGAAATATTAGCTTTAATGCTGTGTTTGCCAATTGCAAATCATGCTTTTGCCCCTTACATGAAGGATTTAAAAAGTAAGAAGATGTAAGCACAGGTTGCCCTTGTGATGACTGCACAAGTGAACCGTTTTTTCTTACAGACCGGACTTTTCAGAAAGAAATATCGTAGTTCTGTGATTTATTATCTGAAATAGATTTAAACATTTTGGGGGGGAAGCTTTCAAACACAAAACCCTGGAAGGGAAGCCAGGCTAATTTGCAAAACCATCAGCTGAGGTTAGGTAGGAGGCTGCGCATGACAACGGCTTGCTGTATGTAGGGCAAAAATTGAGGATTAATTTCACTATAACACTCCACAGAAGTGAGCTCTCATCTGAGGTGAGGAAGTATGCAACGCTTTTCCAACCGTTAAAGACAAGGGCCGGTACAAATAAGGTAATTACTCCTCTTTAGCATACATAATCACAAAAAAAAAAAAAAAAGGATGACATTTTAGTTTTTATTATTTTATATTTGGCCAGGACTTTTAAAGGAAGGACTTTTAAAGGAAACATCAAACATTCACTTTTCTGTAGGTCTAGAAAGGATTCAGTCTCCCCCCACCCCCGCCTCCCGTAGGATTTCTATTGGCCCTTCTTATATTCACACTGCAAATTAGTTGGGAATAGCAGTATTTATACTAGATCAGCAACGTCTGGTTCTTATCCAAATGTTCCACCTAAAGAGGATGCCAGTTCTCATGGATTGGACAGCCCACCCTGCAGCATTCCTGAGAATTGTACAATATAATAATCTTGAAAGTCAGCAGAGTGGATTATCCACTTTTTTCTGGACTTGAACTTGTGACCTTAACAGTAGCACAGCAGAAAGCAAATGTGCTATGCACTTTGCCATAGTAACCTTCCATGTGTTCTTTTCAACTTAAATACACACAATTGAAACAGCTACAATTTTGGAAAATTATGTACAAACCCTATATTTTTTTCTTTTTGATTACATATAAATACAAATTAGCTATTCTTCTAAAAAGTGGTTATAATAGTAAATAAATACAAAATAAGAATCTGACCATTATACTTCATGTGCTGGGGTTAAACCCATATAAAATGTACAACTAAAATACATTTAAAATCTTTAAAGGAATATTTCTCTGATTAAAATATTTGTTTTCCCAACTTTTTCGTAGACATAAATATATTTTCAAAATAGTTGTGTTTTTTTTTCTTTCCATTTCATTACATAAATAAAGTCTTCATTGGGAAATATTAAAGTGTCAGCTTTTCTTTTTTTTTTTTTTTCTGTATTTGTCTAATATATTTGCTGTGTTAGCGGCACCCACAACCCTCCACAACCATATCTTGGTAGTTCTTTAATACAACTTTTTCATTCTCATCAAGGTAGAGCATGGAAATAGCACTCAGTTCTGTCGGCACACAGCAAGCCTTGGGGATTTTGGAATTCACTGAATTGACCAAAGTCTGAACAATGGCATGGTTTGTTGAGTTTAGATGATCTGCCAGTGGAAAAGGACATTCCCCATGGCAGTAAAAGGCACTATACCCCGGTGGGGCAACAATCCAGTCATTCCACCCCACATCATTGAAGTCCACATATAACGGATGCCTTTTGCAACTGTATTTGTGGCGTTTACGCTGTTTGTGTTTCGCTTGACGCTTTTCTCTTTTATGAAGCGGGTGTCCCTTGCCATCATGCCCAAACGTTACTAATAATGGCCTGAGCTGAGACCAGCTATCTTCATCCTGATGTAAAGACCTGCTAATCCTAACGTGCCTCTTGGAGGCACTGTTCTCTTTGTCCAAGTGAACCACCTCTACCACAAACCCATGATTAGGTTGTCCATGTGCAATCCACCTCAAAACAGCTGGCGTTACATCAAAACTTTCCCATTTACTTGCATTATGATGCACCAACCTGGTGTCCAAAAGTCTTGTGACAGGGTCCTTAGAGGTGGCTGTGGCTGGCTTTATAATTTCATAAATATTAATACGGTGATGGTAGCTGCTGTTGTTCTCAAAGCCTCCGTGCACCTGTTTCCGAAAAATCTGGAGTTCAGCTGAGGTGATAGACTCCTCATTAGGGATGGAAGTTAAATTAAAGAAGAAACGCCGTGCTGTTTTCCCACTTGTTTCTGGCAGTTCTTCCAAAACTTCTAATTTGATTAAACGGGGAAAATAAAAAAAAGAAAGAAAGAAAGAAAGAAAAAAATCAGCAACTGAGACAAGCAACCAAACCCCTCAGATAAGTCTGCTGCTGGCAACTTTCAAATGACAGTTAGCACACGTGACGTACAAGATCCGAAAGACTTTCAGGCAGAAACTACCGTCTCCCCTGTCTTCCTGTTTATTTATGCAAGCATGTATAGCGTGAAGTTAAGAATGCTTCGTTCGTTGTTATGCATTTTGAGTGAATACCGGTGCCCTTTGCATTCCAGGTGGTTATAATAAGTGGCAAGAAACACGCAGCATTACTTTGGAATTCCAGGACATTAGCAAGAAAACTCAAGCGCTGTAGCTAGTGGGGGTCTGAGGAGAATCATTAAAAGTGCTTGAGGACTTAGGGTAACTCTTGCATTTCTGCTTTTTTCAAGCATATGGCTCTAACGTCCATCCCTTAAACTTCATTCTGAAAAACATTACTCCGCAATTTAGGTGACTTACAAATCTTAAAGTATGGATTTTTTTATCTTAATTAGAGACGGTGAGCTCAACATCTGTAACGGCACTTTGCAAAGCACGCCCTAGTATTTACCCAAAAGGGCCATAAAGAATAGCAGGAAGGTTCAACTGCTAAAAAGCGTGGATGGCAAAGGGATAACGAAACAAAGTCGCTTCTGAACAACAGATTTTCAAAACCACACGCACACAAAAAAAATAATTAAAAAGTCACTGAACCTCGTGCCATTCTCACCTTTGAGTCAACAAATAATTGAACGGAGCCTCAGAGGGAGTAAAACATACCTAGGGTTGCTAAGAAGTACCTTGTTGCTACAGACGCTGAAGAATTTAAAAGTATTTGCCAAAACAAATCTTTCTCAAATCATGGGTTTTCATTTTGGTACTAAGCATCCTGGAGAAACGTGCACTTTCTAAGGGGAAGCCATAACTGTTGTTAGCAGTTCTTAGTCATTCAACCATTCCCTCTTGACTCCCATAGGACTTTTTGCAGAAGGTAAGGCTCAGCTTTAGGGTATTCAGGACCAGACCAATATTTGTAAACGTGCATATGTTTCGAGTAGTCACAAGACAAACTTCTGCTTCCATGAAGCCACTAATACCGAGCGAGAACTCAGTGAAAACACAGAGCCACACTGATTTTCTTCTAAATTTTGTGAAAATTATAGAATAGCTTCTATGTCAAAAACAGTCTTTGCTGTAACGGTATGACTACTTGAAACTGCAGATTTTTTACATTTGCCTAAAAATTACAAACTTTGCCCTTTCAGCTCCTGTCTCGTTCAGCTCCCTGCCTACCACGCTCAGGTTTAACGTGAATGACCCATGCACTCGCTTTCCCCCACGCACTGCTAGGTGTTTACTTTCCACGCAGGGAAATGCAGGCGATGCGAGGTTACATTTCATCATTCACCTCCTTTCTCACGATAAGGCTTTCCACTAAAGAGCACATCCACTTCTCCGAGGTCACCTCCTTTACCCATCAGAAACATTAAATACTAATGAACGCCTTTTCTCAACACAGCTTCACGTTAAAAGCATGGGAAAACGGCGTTTTCGTTACTTTTACAGCGGGGCCACTGCATGCCAGCACGGGAGACTAGCAGCCAGGAATGATTACAACCTGGGGAAACGTTTCTCAAAGAGCACGCGAGCGACACGTGCGCCACCGGCTCCACGGGCCTACCCGTGCCACGGCTAACTCCGCAGCGACTGTTTTGGCTATGTAAGTCGGGACACGCGCCCAGTTGCTCAGCGAGGGCCTGTCCCAGAGGGTGCACTGCCTCGGTGGGCCACGAGCAAGGAGGGGTGGAGGCGCTGCTGGATGCCTCGCTCTGCTTTTGGCCGGGTTACCTGCAGGTGAGAGCCCAAACCTGGCCACAGAGTTTTTACAAGCCTGGGCGCTGGTGGCCGGGCAGGCGTAGCGTGGGTCTGGGCTAAATCGCTCCTCGAAGGCGGGACAAGGGAGCGCTTGAGGAGAGGCCACAATTGATGGTTTCATTGATCTCCCACAGGGATTAGATAAGGATTAGAAACCTCCGCAGCGGCCTCGGCTCAGCCGTGCATTAGGGAGACTTTCCTGCTCTTCAGCCTCGCAAAAGCAAAGCTATCTGTGGGAAGGCGTAATGCGGAGCCGCTGTTGTAGCGGAAAAAGTAAATAAACCAGGAGCCTCTCGTCGGCCGGAGGAGGAGGAGAGAGGCCGGCGGGG